TTTTTTTTTTTTTTTTTTTTTTTTTTTTTTTTTTCTGCAGGACCCCACAGCTGTGATAGGTGAGGGTTCTTTGTTGGGCCCAGATGTCTCCGTTGGTGCGGGCGTCTCCATAGGGCGGGGCTGCCGCTTAAAAAATACAGCAATTATGAGTCAGGTTAAAATAGAAGATTTCTCCTGGATTGACTCTTCTATCGTTGGCTGGAATTCACTTATAGGCAAATGGGTGAGAAGAGCTGGCTAGCTAGCTAGCTAGCTGTGTGGCTTTGTAGCTAGCTAGCTAGCTAGCTAGATAGATAGATAGATAGATAGAAATACAGCAATTATGAGTCAGGTTAAAATAGAAGATTTCTCCTGGATTGATTCCTCTATCGTTGGCTGGAATTCACTCATTGGCAAATGGGTAAGACTGGCTAGCTAGCTAGCTAGCTAGCTAGCTGTGTGGCTATGCAGCTAGCTAGCTAGCTAGCTATGTAACTATGTACCTAGCTAGCTAGCTATGTAACTATGTAGCTAGCTAGCTAGCTAGCTGGTTATATAGATAGGTATAAAATGAGTCCGTATAAGATAAATGCGTTGCATTTTCCCTCTTTATTTTATTTTATTTTTTATATTATGTTGGGGTGTATCTGCAGGTCCGGATTGAGGGTTTGAGTGTGGTGGGGGAGAATGTCTCGATAGCGGAGGGGTGTTTTATAAATGCAGCTTTTATATTACCCCATAAACAACTGACTCACTCTGTGCAGCAGCCAGGCACTATACTTATGTAGATATATATTTATTTATTTATTTATTTATTTATTTTATTTTATTTTATTTATTTATTTTATTTATTTGTTTGTTTAGGTGTTTGGTTAGGTGGTTGGTTGTTTATTTAGGTGGTTAATTCGTTCTATGCTTTTCTTTGGCTCTTTATAAACAACTCAGATACTAAGTTATTTATTTTATTTTATTTTATTTTATTTTTATTTTATTTTATTTTATTTTATTTATTTATTTATTTATTTATATTTATATTATTATATATAGTAATATAATATGCAGAAAGACAAAAAGGAAAGCCACTAGCACAGACAGCAGCAACAACAGCAACATCAATATACATACAGCAGCAGCAGCAGCAACAGCATCAGCAGCAGCAGCAGCAGCAGCAGCAGCAACAGCAGCAGCAGCAGCAACAGAAGCAGCAATTTACTTATTTATTTATTGACCTCATCAGTTTCTTTTACGCATTGCCGTTGTAAAAACAAAAATTTTATTGAGCTAGCAGCAGCAGCAGCAGCAGCAGCAGCAGCAACAGCAGCAGCAGCAACAGCAGCAGCAGCAGCAGCAGCAAAAAAGAAAATGGGGGCCTCTCATAATTAGTTATCATTATTAAATCAGAGGGTTTAGGGTTTAGGGTTTAGGGTTTAGGGTTTAGAATGAACCCGGGGGGGGGCCTCCTGCCTCTGCGGGGGCCCCCCTTTATGGTGTTGCTACTGCTGTTGCTGCTGCTGCTGCTGCTGCTGCTGCTATTGCTGCAGCTGTTGTTGCTGCTTCTGTTTCTGCTGCTGTTGCTGTTACAGCTGCTGTTGCTGCTGCGGCTGTTGCTGCAGCACACCACCAGAACCAGCAGCAGCACCACCACCAGCTGCTGCTCCTGCAGCTGCTGCTACAGCTGTTGCTGCTGCTGCTGCTCCTGCAGCTCCTGCTCCTGCAGCAGCAGCTGCTGCTGCTCCTATCTCTGCTGCTACAGCTGCTGCTGTTGCTGTTGCTGCTGCTGCTGTTCCTCCCGTTCCTACAGCATCACCACCACCACCACCACCACCACCGCCACCAGCACCAGCACCAGCAGCAGCAGCATCAGCAGCAGCAGCAGCAGCAGCAGCAGCAGCAGCAGCAGCAGCAGCATTACCAGAATTTGGTGGAGAGTCTGAGGGGACTTTTGTTTACGTTGGGGCTCCACCACTTCTCCTTGCGCCGGCCCATACCCTTCACCTCGTGGTACCTGCAGCAGCAGCAGCAGCAGCAGCAGCAGCAGCAGCAGTAGCAGCAGCAGTAGCAGCAGCAGCAGCAGTAGTAGTGTAGTAGCAGCAGCAGCAGGAGTAGTAGTAGTAGTATTAGCAGGGTATGCAGCAGCAGCAGCAGCAGCAGCAGCAGCAGCAGCAGCAGCACAACGAACGTTCAGCAGCAGAAAACACAGATAAAGCAGCAACTGCCACTTCTGCTGCAGGAGCAGCAGCAGCAGCAGCAGCTGCTG